GGCGGATCACTTGAGCTCAGGAGTTGAAGAACAGCCTGAGCAACATGGTAAAACCCTGTCTCTACAAAAGAAAAAAAAAGTACAAAAATTATCCAGGTGTGGTGGCATATTCCTACAGTCCCAGCTACTCAGGAGGCTGATGTGGGAGGATCACCCGAGCCCAGGAGGTGGAGGTTGCACTGAGCCAAGATCGTGCCACTGCACTCCAGCCTGGGCAACAGAGCAAGACCCTATATCAAAAACAAAACAAAACAAAACAAAAAACAACAACAACAACAAAAACAACTTAGGTTTTGATATTAGTCTGAGCAAAAATAGTCACAAAGGGATAAAATGTGTATAGCTCCAAAATTTTTTCTGAGCAGGGGGTTAGCATGAAAAATAAAAAGCAAGCAATATAATCAGATCATCCCTGGCCGTCGATATTCTTCCCTGGCTTTTCATGGCTTTCCCTTCACATGTTAATAGGACCCTTGGGGGTGATGCAAAGCTCTCAGGAGAGGAAGTGGCTGAGCGTTGGGCTGACCGATTGAGTGGCTGATTGACTGATGGAGAGCTCCGGTTGCTTTCCGTGGAAGGCAGGGCTTGATCCCTTTCTCTCCTTCCTTTTTTCCAGCTTTACGTCCTGAGTCAAGGACAATGTGTGTACCGGGGAAAAGTCTGCAATCTTGTGCCATATTTGAGGGATTTGGGTCTGAACTGCCCAACCTACCACAACCCAGCAGATTTTGGTAAGTGGAGCCCTGAGCAGCTCGGGGGACAGAAAGGGGATTCTCCTCCTCTGTAGGTTTCACTTTTAGTAAAAAGTGCAGATGCCCCCAACTCAGAAACCACTTGACTATTCCACAAATGGCTCAGTTTTCTTCCGTTGTTAAACTTTTTAAGGACCACCACCAAAAAAATGGTTCCCTTTCCTCTAGACTCTAGGTAAAACCATCTGGCCAGCCCATCTCTGCCTCTCTCCTCTCTCTGTGTCCTAATCGCCTCCTCTCCTGAGGACAGCAGTCATTGGATTCAGGGCCCGCCCTAAGTCCAGGATGATTCACCTCAAGATCCTAATTACCTCTGCAAAGACCCTTTTTCAAATAAGGGTGCATGGTGACGGTCCAGGTGGACTTCCCTCCTCCTTCGCCTTCCAGCCATCAGCCTTAATCTGTCATTTTTCTTTAAAATATTTGATTCGTGCAATTCCCAGGACTCGTATTTTCTACCACACTATTTCCCAAATTGTGTTCCATGAGACACCGTTCACGGGAAGCGCCTCTCACTCACAAGGAGTAGGCTGTGATGGAGAGGAGAGAGGGAGAGAGGTGCAGGGGATGTGGTTTAAGGGGGGACAGGACCTGGGAGGGCTGTGGTTCTGGCTTCACGCTTGCTCACAAGGGAGAGGAACAGATCAGGAACCGGTCAGTAACGGATGCTGCTGAGTGGGGCAGGGAGGAGAGGTGTGAGGCCTGCATGGAGGTGAGAACCCGGAGGGAAGGGCGGGCAGGAAGGAGAGGAAACAGGGCACATGGGGATGCGGAGAGATCCTGGAGAGATGAGCGTGTTCTGGGGATTCCATTTCCTCAGTGTCGTCTGACCAGAGAGTGGGAGATGGGGGGGAGTGTGGCCCACTGTAGCGGGTGTGGGTGACCAGAGGGGTCTGGAAACGTTGCCTGGCGGTGCGGTGGGCTCGTTTAGAACCCTTGAGGATGACTTTCCGGTAGGGCCAAGGTGTCCCGGTCTGTGGCTTGATCTAGGGGGTGTGGTGGCCCCCGTACCAGCTGGGAGGAAGCAAGTAGCTGGCTCTGCCAGAGGGAAGTGCGGAAAAGGGAGGGGCGCTGAGGAGCTTTGGGCCTTAGCAGGAACGTTACTGGAGTGGGAGGCGAGGCGTCGCGCAGGAGGACACGGAGGCAGGAGAGGGCAGAGGGGTTGGGAGAAAGCAGAGGTAGGCAGAGGGCAGGAGGCCAGGCTCCGCGGGAGTGTGGAAGGAGTTGCAGGCTGCAGAGGAAGTCGAGGTGGAGGCAGACCTTAGGGGAGCAAGTCCGCAGGCAGAGCGGGGAGGTGACGATTGGGATGTGGGAGGAAGGAGCAGGTGGGGAGAGCCTGTGCAGGAGACACTCACCGGGATCTGAGAGGTGCAGGTGGAGAGTCCTGGGACCTCCAAGTCCCCAGGGTGCCAGCCGCTCGTATGGCGATGGGCATGTCCTTCTCTGCCGTCTTGTAGAACTGCTGTGGCTCTCATCACACCCTGCCAAACCACAGGCTCCTCAAGGAGGCGTCCCTCAAGGAGGAGCCCTTTGTTCTGCTCCCCTCCCCAGCTCCACCTTGGAGGCTGGCCCAGAGCAGGCATTCAGTAAGTACCGGCTGGATGAGCAGTCGGTAGATGCAGGCGCTCATTACTTCTCAGACCACCGACAGCACAGTGTGTGTTTGCGTTTCCAGTCTCCCGACGTGATAAAGGGCCTTGCTGGGGGTTTGAGAGCCGCACGCTGGTTGATAAATGACTTTGACATCATGCCATTAGCACCGCCAGGCAGCATCTATGGAATCACTTTAAAACATTCCCACTTGAATAACGACTTTCGCATCTGGGTGACTGGGCCGTCCTTCCTGGAACCTGGGCTGACCCTGCGTCTGTGTCTCCTGCAGTCATGGAGGTTGCATCCGGCGAGTACGGCGATCAGAACAGTCGCCTGGTGAGAGCGGTTCGGGAGGGCATGTGTGACTCCGACCACAAGAGAGACCTCGGGGGTGATGCCGAGGTGAACCCTTTTCTTTGGCACCGGCCCTCTGAAGAGGTAAAGCAGACAAAACGATTAAAGGGGTTGAGAAAGGTAATGCAAATCCTGAAGCCCCCTGGGGAAGGCTGCATGTGGCACTGTGCACCGCTGCATGAGCGCTCTTTCCGAGCAAGAAGGAGCGGCGGCTCTGACTGGCTTTCACCCGTTCCCCTCTTGCGTGTGTCCTCAGGACTCCTCGTCCATGGAAGGCTGCCACAGCTTCTCTGCCAGCTGCCTCACGCAGTTCTGCATCCTCTTCAAGAGGACCTTCCTCAGCATCATGAGGGACTCGGTAAGGCTGCCCCACATCTTCTCCCGTGGCTAGGGAAGTCGTATGTCATTTTCTCATAGACTCATCCTGACGGAATATGTTTGTTCATTCTCACATTGCTGTAAAGAAATGTCTGAGGCCAGGTGTACTGGCTCACGCCTATAACCCCAGCACTTTGGGAGGCCAAGGCGGGCGGATCACTTGGGGCCAGGAGTTCAGACCAGCCTGGCCAACGTGGGGAAACCCCATCTCTACTAAAAATACAAAAATTAGCCAGGCCTGGTAGTGCACGCCTGTAATCCCAGCTACTCAGGAGGCTGAGGCAGAAGAACTGCTTGAACCCAGGGAGCAGAGGTTGCAGTGAACCAAGATCGCGCCACTGCACTCCAGCCTGGGTGACAGAGCCAGACTCCCATCTGAAAGGAAGGGAGGGAGGGGGGAAGGAGGGAGGAATGGAGGCAGGCAGGAAGGAAGGAAGGCAGGCAGGTCTGAGCCTGGGGAATTTATAAAGAAAAGAGGTTTAATTGGCTCATTGTTCTGCAGGCTGTATAGGAAGCATGGCCGGGGAGGCCTCAGGAAACTTTCAATCATGGTGGAAGGCAGAGGGGGGCCGGCATTCCCCTGGGAAGGGGAATGGAGCGCTACACACTTATAAACATCCAGATCTCACAATAAGTCACCCACTGTCACAAGCACAGAACCAAAGAAGTCCACCCCCGTGATCCGATCAGGCCCCATCTCCAACATTGGGGATTACAATTTGACATGAGATTTGGGTGGGGACACAGACCCAAACCATACGACCAAACTTTCAAATTACTTTTCTTCCATTTGCAATAGTCAGCGTTCACTGTAATGCTGCAGTAACAAACACTCCCATAATGTACGTGTCTTCCTCCACTGATATTTGTGTCCTGCTTGTGTTAGGGGTGGCAACAGTGGGTTGTGTCATGGCTCCGTCCCATAAGTCTTCTCATCCTGGGACAGCTCCTATCTGGACATGCCTTTCTGCAACATGTCAAAGGACAGGTGCAAGAGAGAAACCAAATGGCAGCCCTTAAAACTTCCAGTTGGAGGTGGCAAATTGTCACTTGCACTCACATGCCATTGGCCTAAACAAGTCACATGGCCGAGCCTGAAACCAGGGCTGTAGGCAAGTCCATTTCTCCTTCAGGAAAGCACTGTGAATTATGAGGATTGGGGTGGGGGGCTGGACAATTCCTTATAGGGAAGGAGGTGATGAATACACGGGAACCATAGTTCCACCAGAGAAGTGGACAATCTGGCCACCTGCTTAGGAGCGGCTAAATGCCTGGCATGGCTTCTGGGACCTAATTTGAAAGACAGAGAGGCTCACCACAGCCCACACCAGAGTTCTTGGAGCCTCTGAGCCTCTGATATGGCCACTTTTCCCTCACTATTGTTTTTACCTTTCCTCTCTTCTGAGGGTAGACTTCGTTTGTTCTCCATTTTTAAATCTTTAACAAAGGATAGTAATTATGTCTGTTTTAACACAACAAAAGCCTGACATGTGTGCATATGTGTGTGTGTGTGTGTGTGTATGTGAGTTGCTTTAGGGTTTGGCTTGTTTTTCTGGAGGAGAAGAGAGGATAAAGTCTAAGAACTGCTGTCACAGAGTTCGGGGTCCCATGCTTCCAAAGGCCGCAGCCGGGTTGTTCTCTGGGCTGAGGACAGCTTTGCGCATGCACCGGGTAAGACGCGGGTCTGCCCCCAGGTCCTGACGCATCTGCGCATCACCTCGCACATTGGGATCGGCCTTCTCATCGGCCTGCTGTACTTGGGGATCGGGAACGAAGCCAAGAAGGTCTTGAGCAACTCCGGCTTCCTCTTCTTCTCCATGCTGTTCCTCATGTTCGCGGCCCTCATGCCCACTGTTCTGACATGTGAGTGACAGACCACAGACCCCTTCTTCCTTATTTTCAATTCCTACCCAAGCATGGGGGGCCTGAGGTCATGCCTTGACCAACGGATGAGTTTTCTAAACACAATGTTTTTGTTTTTTAAAATATCATCTTCTTTGTTGACAGATGCAAGTTGTATTGTATTTGCTGTTAGATAAGAAAATACAATACTTAAGCCAAAGGAATGAATCCCGAATGGAAGACTTTTAAGCATGGGGGAAGGCTGATGGGAGGGGGATTTCTCAAAGATTCACTGATTAGGAGCCCCCCAACTCTACTACTTAAGCGTTACCTAGTTCAATTGTTAAGATAGCTCTGCACAGCCCACTTCAGGAGCAGAGAAGCTCTCTTAGATGGATCTCCACACAATTCCAGTTTGTTCACAAGGAGGCTGCCCTTGGTCACTTTGGGCGACAGTGAACACAGCTGCTGCTTCTCCTGAACTTCAGCATAAACAGCCCCCCCCTAGGTACCTCCTCCCCAAGCCGCCCCTGATTTCCAAGAGCAGCTCGCAGCCTTGCTCACGGGAAGGGACCAGGCTGATGCGGAGTTTCAGAAGAGGCTGACTCAGGAAGAGTAAGGCCAGGCACGAATCCTTGCATTCATCACTAAGATGCTGCTTTGTGTTCACAGACACGCTCCCCACCCTCATTCTCCACCCGATGACTCTTCAGGTTATCCACATGGGTGGCAAGTTTTCCAGGCTAGCAAAACACGTCCTCTGCTTGTTCAGTCTCTCAGTGCCCTAGGCCAGAGCTGGGTTACGAGCCGCTCAGCTCAAGATCGCCGGTTGGGATGTTAAACAGACTCGCTGTGCATGGTCGCTGACCCTTCTTTTTTGCTTTTCTATCTCCTAGTTCCCCTGGAGATGGGAGTCTTTCTTCGGGAACACCTGAACTACTGGTACAGCCTGAAGGCCTACTACCTAGCCAAGACCATGGCGGACGTGCCCTTTCAGGTGTGTTAGCCAGGGCAGGGGCTGGAATAGGAAACGGGGGCAAGAGTTCTCCTGTACACCCTTTATATTGAGTAAGAGGGCCTGCCAGGGATGCAGGGTGGCGTGGCCCGACGTCGGGAGCTCTGGTGGGAGCTCTGGCAGGAGCTGTGGGGAGTGGGGAAGGACCTGACGTCGGGAGCTCTGGTGGGAGCTACAGGGAAGGGCGGGCTGCCCAGGAGCTTTGCTGTTGGCCTGCGGTAGTGAGAAGCGGCCGAGCCCGAGGCTGATGGGCCCTTGTTTCCAGATCATGTTCCCCGTGGCCTACTGCAGCATCGTGTACTGGATGACATCGCAGCCGTCCGACGCCGTGCGCTTCGTGCTGTTTGCTGCGCTGGGCACCATGACCTCGCTGGTGGCACAGTCCCTGGGCCTGCTGATCGGAGCTGCCTCCACGTCCCTGCAGGTGCCAGCCCAGGAGGCGCTGAGTGAGGGCATGAGGGCTGGACTTCCCTGCACCATCTTGGCCTGAGCTAGGGGGCTTTGCCACCCCTCCCCCTACTTCTGCCCTGAGCCTCCTAGATGGGGTCGTTTCCACAGGAAGGGCCCGCATTGTCGGGGGTCAGGATCGGCTGGCTTCCACAGTGCGCACAGCGGGCAGCCTCACGTGTGCTGACTGCGTGCTGGGCGCCCCTCCCAGCCTTTCCCAAATCTGAGCTGTAGCCCCAAGCACAGCCACGCTTAGGTGCTGTGCTGGCCCGATTTTACACAGCGGGGCCCTGAGGCCCAGAAGGCAAAGTGATTTGTCAGGGGGTCACACAGCTGTCTCAGGAGCCAAGTTCTCAACACCTACACATCGCTGCCTCTGCGGGGACCCTCGGCCTCTCCATGGGCCCCTTCCTCCTCCCATCGCTCACCCTGTCCCCCGACCTGCCACCCACGTGCGCCTGCAGGTTCTCTACCTCTGTGGCTTCGGGACACTCGGCCTGAGCCTGTCCTTCCGGACAAAAGCACTGCTCTCGAGGCCCCCAGGGTCCCATGCTGGGTGCAGTGTATTCCCGGGTCACCTCCAGTCCACCACGAGCTGGCTGCCTGGCCCCCAGGGCCCGGGTGCCCTCACCCTAGATGAGGATAGCCACGTAGCCCGGCTCACAAGGCTGCCATGGACCAAAGATGACACGGCAGGAAGGTGCTGGGCCCACACCAGCTGCAGCAACCCATGTCCCCCAAGGCCAGCCCCAGCGCACCTGCTCAGCCACCCCCAGGCCTCCTGCCTAGGGCGCTCAGGTTCTGCAGGGGTCACTAAGCAGAGCAGGACTGGGATGCCCCTGTCTGCACGGTTACACATGACACACATGCACACAGACATGACACGCTACACACACCACACCACACACACCACACCACACACTACACACCACACACAGTACACACCACACAATACAAACACACCACATTACACACTGCAGACACACCACACACCACACTACATACTACATACTACACACCACACACTACACACACATCACACTGCACACTGCAGACACACCACACTACACACTGCAGACACACCACACACACACTACACACTACACACCACACACACACACCACACTACACACCACGCACTACACACACATCACACTACACACTGCAGACACACCACACACACACTACACACTACACACCACACCACACACTACAGACACCACACACCACACAGCAGACACTGCACACACCACACACACTCCACACAACCTCCTACCCCCCATACACTCGCAGCGCCCTGGCTGGACCTGTGCTCACTGTGAACCCTGAGTCACGGTGGTTTGTTCCGTCTCTGGGCTGCTCTCCCGGAGGGGCCGACAGGCAGGCGTCTATCCCGCCTGTGGAGGCTGCAGTCCTTCCACTGGGCCCCGACCGAGGGGGTGCCCGCCACACACCTGCCACGGGCCAGGCACTGGCCTTAGCCCCCCGGGAACAGCTGTGGAGGAGCAGGCAGCAGCCTGTTGAGGAGGGTGTGTCCCTTTCTGTGTGGCCTGGGCACATCCACTGGGTCCCAGCTCATCCTGGGCTGTAGGAGGCTCTGGGGCTGCCATGTCACAGCAGGGCAGCTGGGGGATCCTCAGAGATGGTGACCCCACACCTCAGGGACGCTGCACCTTCTGCCCCATTAAGGACCCTCATTACCATGCCCAGAAGGTGCCCTGGCCCTGCCCTGGGGGAAGCTGGGGTGGGCGAGCCTCCACTGCAGGAGGCCATGCTACAGGTTCTGCTACATCTGTCTCATGTGCCCCCAACTCCAGGTGGCCACCTTCGTGGGCCCGGTGACAGCCATCCCAGTGCTCCTGTTCTCGGGGTTCTTCGTCAGCTTCGACACCATCCCCACGTACCTGCAGTGGATGTCCTACATCTCCTATGTCAGGTAGCGGGCGCAGGGCACACATGGCGTGGGGACCGAGGGTGACGAGGGAAGAACTGCCTCCAACGGCGTGAGGGGCTCACAAAAGCCACTCTGGGCTGCCGGCCGAGTGCAGATCACACATCTGAGGATCCATGCCTTCCATCTTCCTGCTAGTTCCACCTGCTCCTCGCCAACACACACACACTAAACAAGGAGGCCACACAAACCAGCGCTTCGCACCCCAAGGGCCATGGCAGGCCCAAGTGTTCTGGATGTTTCCAAGAGCTGCCTTTGGTGGAAGTGCTTCCATTTTTTAGAAACGTTCTTCCTCCCCGAAGTGAACAGTGCTCCTAACAAGTGCTGATTGTAAAACCTTTATAAGAAATCTGGTGAGGGCTGGGTGTGGTGGCTCATGTCTGTAATCCCAGCACTTTGGGAGGCCGAGGCAGTCAGATAGCTTGAGGTCAGGAGTTCGAGACCAGCCTGGCCAACATGGCAAAACCCAGTCTCCACTAAAAACCCAAAACAATTAGCTGGGCATGGTGGCACGCAACTGTAATTCCAGCTACTCCGGAGGCTGAGGCGGGAGGATCTCTTGAACCTGGGAGGCAGAGATTGCAGTGAGCCGACATTGTGTCACTGTACTCCAGCCTAGGTGACAGCGAGACAGAGAGAGAGAGAGAAAGAAAGAAAGAGGGAGGGAGGGAGGGAAAGAAGGAAGGAAGGAAGGAAGGAAGGAAGGAAGGAAGGAAGGAAATCTGGTGGGAAACAAGTCATTTTTAAACAACTTTTTAAACATCCTAATATCTTGGAACAAGAATGCCCAGTGCCTCGGGTCCTTAGCTACAGCGTTTCATGCCCTCTGCGGAGCGGGGTGTTGGCACGCTGGCCCCACGAGGGGCAGCACCCATCTTCCGAGCTGCAGAAGTTCCACGTGACGCAAAGATCCAAAGTTTGGAACAAGCTCTTTTCTAGAATGTCAGTTCAGACTCAGGTATATTGTTCAAGAAAACAGAATGAAAACAAAGCCCTTGTACAGAGTTTCAACAATCTGTGTGTGCTCCAACACCACGAAATCAGAAACCGACGTCTTTCTTCTCAAAATGAGTGCTTTTGTCCTGACAGGGCGGGGCTGGAGCAGAGGGAGAGAGGGGGCAGGAATGTTTCATATAAATGTTCTCAAGTCCTTGCAAGTTGGCCAGCCCATGATTCCCTCCAACCGATAGAAAGCACGTAACCTCGGAAGTGAACAAAAGATTTCTCAGCGCATTTCACCAGTGAATGAATATGTACTGTTCATTCAACTTGGTTTTTTGCTCGGGGCCCTGGAAGAAACAAAATTGGAAGAAAAACAGAGTGGAGCTGTTGCCCGTGTTTATCTTAAGAAGATGGTGGGCGGTGAGGAAGTATTCTGGGGAAGGCAGCCCTTTGGGACGGGAGGACAGCCAGGCTGGGAATCGCAGGGAGGGTGAACAACATCGACCTTCAGCCGACGGCGTGGTTGGCTGGGAGAGCGTCCTCCCTCATGCCTGGCCTTTCCTCTTAGGTATGGGTTCGAAGGGGTCATCCTCTCCATCTACGGCTTAGACCGAGAAGATCTGCACTGTGACATCGACGAGACGTGCCACTTCCAGAAGTCGGAGGCCATCCTGCGGGAGCTGGACGTGGAAAATGCCAAGCTGTACCTGGACTTCATCGTACTCGGGATTTTCTTCATCTCCCTGCGCCTCATTGCCTATTTTGTCCTCAGGTACAAAATCCGGGCAGAGAGGTAAAACACCCGAATGCCAGGAAAGAGGAAGATTAGACACTGTGGCCGAGGGCACGTCTAGAATCGAGGAGGCAAGCCTGTGCCTGACCGATGATGCAGAGACTCTCCTGATCCAACCCCTAGAACCGCGTTGGGTTTGTGGGTGTCTCGTGTTCAGCCGCTCCGCCCAGCTGGGTTGGGTTCTCTCCATTCCCCTTTCTAGCTTTAACTAGGAAGATGTAGGAAGGTCGGTGGTTTTTTTTTTTTTTTACATACAGAATTTTAAATACCACAACTGGGGCAGAATTTAAAACTGCAACACAGCTGGTGATGAGAGGCTTCCTCAGTCCAGTGGCTCCTTAGTACCAGGCACCGTGGGTCCTGGATGGGGAACCGCAAGCAACCTCTCGGCTGATGGCTGCACAGTCAGATGTCTCGGGGCAGAGGGGCCGAGCACGGAGCGATTCCATTTTTTGACTGTTGTTTTTCATAGTTTCATCTTTCTAAGGTGTGTCTCTTTTCCAATGAGAACTCATTTTTGCAAGCCAAAAGTTGATCAATAGCATTCATTTGAAGAAACTGTACCTTTTTAGTATTTGCTGAAGAATGATTCGGGGTAAATCACGTACTTTGTTTAGAGAGGCAAGGGGTTTAACCGAATCACCTAGCTGGTCTCATACGCAGACAGCACTGGTGAAGGATTGAATGCAGGTTCCAGGTGGAGGGAAGACGTGGACGCCCTCTCCACTGAGCCATGCAGAAATTTTTAAAAGCTATACAAAACATTGTAAGAAGACATTGGCCAACTCTTTCAAAGTCTTTTATTTTCCACGTGCTTCTTATTTTAAGCAAAATATATTGTTTGTTTCTTCCTAACTTTCTGACTACCTTAATTTTGCCTAGGTTGATTTAAACAAACAAACAGCATCCCTTTCCTTCTATATCCTCTCAGCTACCTCCACTGAACCTGGAAGAGCAGGGCTTAGGGAAATTCAGGCATGACCTTTGAGGGTTGTCTCTGCAGGAGCAGCCAGCAGAGAAAGATGGGCTAACTGTGCAAGAGGGGAGGAGGCCAACAAGATGGCATCAGAATCCAAGGGCTTAGGGCAAAGTCAGTAGACTTCAGCGTGTAGAGGCATTTGAAACTTGATCAAACAACGCATTTCGAGTGGTGGGGGATTTCATCTCTGGTTTTTGTGATCTCACAGCCACATCACCGCCTCAGTGTTAGGCTTGTGTAAACTTCGCATATTGGAAACCGCTTCTTTCTTACGACTGAATCACGTAGGTCAAATCCCACTAGGGCAGGAACAGGTGCCTATCTGGAGGTCAAGTGGCCTTTGAATTCATAACAAGGCTGCCTGTGTGCTTGTCAGCTCTCAGAGGCAGTTTGACTACACGTGGAGAAGGTGATTCTGGCCAAAGAAGTCCATCTTTAGGAAAATGCCGTTGTTTCCTCCTTCTAGAATATCATTCTCCAAGAATCCGGGCTTCCGATGGAAAGGCTATGTTTTTGTGGGCAAATCAGTGAACCTTTCTGAGCTACATTTTTCCTCATCTGTAAATAGTTACAGTACATCATGCCCAAGGCCATGCCAGCTCAAAGGGGGTCAGAGGGCGTGGGATTCCTTGGTGATGTCCCCGAAACTCTTATTTCCCACTTCGAAAGAACGAAAAGGGTCTGAATTTTATTTACACATGGATTTAGTTTGCAAATTCTTAGAGATTCCTTTTTTACTGCTAGATCTTTTTTAGTAAAACACAATTGAGATAGATATTAAAGTGTAATTTTAAGTGTGCTTGTTCTATACAAATACGGCATTGCCTTCCAGATTAAATTTTTAACCAGAGTCAAACTTAGCCTTTATAAAAAGTCCTCATTTAATTTCAAAATAGATCTTCTTGTAAGACATCGCACATAGGGAAGACCCACCTAGGAATAGCTGGGTGAAATGCAGAATTGGAAAAAGGCAAAAGTCCTTGCTCATGACTCAGAACTACATTGAGTGAGGTCGGTGTTGAAAACGCCCATTCCCTCCAGGTGAGCCTTTCCCATTGTGGATTAGTGTCGGGGGTTTATGGCCCTAATACGGGTGTGTCTGCACTGCGTGGACCCACAGCCCTGCCCCAGAAGCTGCTTGGTCTCTTGCTGAGACTGCTTGCTGTACCTCATGAGTTTCAGGAGGAAACAGTGAGATGCCTCTAGATTTAAAATCTGGTTTCGGAGAGCACCTAAGCCCTCTGAGGGAATGACTCCCGTAGGAGTTTGATGGAGATACTTCTAGGGGGAAGGGCTTGGGAACCGTGAGGGCTGTTAGGCTGCAAGAAGGGAATGGATATGTGAGATCACGTGGGTTTATTTTTTGAAGGGTGAACTGGAGTAGGTGAGGATTCTGCCGTCGATACTCCAGGATGGCTTCGCTCAGCCCTCCCCTGTAGACTGGAGGAAAGCCTACCGCCAAGGAGGAGAGGATGCGTCTGTCCTAGGCGCAGCCGGCCTCCCTCTTCCAGGTTCAGCAAGGGCCCCTGGTTGGGCATTTTCCTCGTAACCGTTGGCAGCATTGACTCAAATGGCATTGTTTAGCTTTCCAGATATTTCCCCGCTGCTTTTTGTGTTAAGGTAGTTTGGTAAAATGCCTTATTCCAATGACCTAAGATAACATCAAGCAACTCACTGATTTACTTTTCTAACTAGCTGTGGTTCAGAGGCGCACGGCAACGTGCTGTCTTTCACATGGTGAACGTTAAACCCAGACCAACTCCCCAAGTCTAATTTGTTTCAGTAATTCCTGAATGCAATGACCCAGATATTCCTTTCATCTCTGATTGAGTTTCTTCCATTAGAAGGAAGAATTAAACCTTGGATAAAAGATTTGCAGCTGCCCCAGTGGTTAATAGAGGTGAAAATGGAAGTTTCAGTGAAACTGCTGGGGCCTTTTGCCTTTGTCCCCATCCAAAAAGTTTTGTCATTTTGTGCCTCTCTTTCTTCTCCTCTGGCTGAATATCCACTGGAGATTGAATTCTCTGAAACTCCCTGCTTGGGTGAAGTGGGAAGCTGTCTCCAGGAAGGGGAGTGACTGTGCAAAGTTTTACACGTCCGATGCTAGAATTGGATTACATCACCTGGGGGAGGCGCCTTCAGGACCAGAAAATAGGACATGGAGCTTTGAGGTGAAAACTTATCTTCGAAACCCACAAAAAGTCATTTCCCCAGCCCGACATCAGGGACAGACCACACCCACGGGGCAGAAACCGGGCTTGGTTGTTGCAGTGAGAAGAGACGGCACGACTCTGGTGCACCGAGCACCTTTCCTCGTGGCTGTTTCCAGGCATTGGGCTGAATGCCCTCAGAATCCCCTGTCCCCTGCCCACTCCTCAAACCCTTACTGACCCACCCCTCTCGCCTGGTCCTGTCCCAGGCCCTGGGAGTGAGACGGAGGGGACTCCAACGTGGGTTTGCCCTCCAGTGTGGTGGGAGGACCTGCGTGGCCACTTGGCTTAGCCCTGCTCATGGTGCAGACGTGGAACACGGAGGCGGGGAGAGGCTCCGTGACGTCCCCGAGGCCCCAGAACGCGGAAGGAGCAGAGTTGGGATTCCAGCCCGTTTGGACCCCGAAGTCCCTGTTTTGTTTACTGCCTCCTGTTCATGGCGTATGAATGTATCTGAGATGCTTTGTAAGGCATAAAGTGCAATACTAGCTTAGTGGCTGATTGTTCAGTGATTCCTTCTGTCACCAAACAGATGGCTGAGATGAGAGGGAAACCCAAGCCTAACGCCCTTCAGTGGCCTTGCATCGCAGCGCCCGTGACAGGTACCTCTCCATGGAGAGGGGCTGTCGTCTGCCCTGGCCTGCTCCTCCTATTGCAACAGTCCTGTGGACTAGCTCAGGCTCCAGAGGGGCTGGTGTGGGTGTGTGTGTGTGTGTGTGTGTGTGTATGGTGTGTGTGTGTCTACATACAAGCACATGTGCACACATGCACACACACATACATGCACACACACGCACATGCACACATACATGCAGGTGTGCAGACTTGGCTGCAGGCGTGTGTCTGATAGTATTATTCTACGATATTTCCCTCATCTCCGTAGAACACCAGCTTCTGAATCCTCAATCAGCCTTTACTTCAGGAAGAAAAGAAAACCTCTCTCCTTCCAGGTCTGTGGTGCAGATGGGAAAAGTGTAGTCAACACCCATTAAGGCTTTAGTCAAATGCCAGCTGAATTAGAACGTGACGAACGTTAGACAAGACAACCCGACCGGGCAGGCCGGGGGAAGCGCAGAGTGTATAAATACAAAGTTAGATACTTTTCAGGAATAAAGACTCTAATAAAATGTTTTATATAAAACTTTTTACCTGTGTTCGGCGTCAGATGCTTTAAGTGATTGGCTTGCATTTTTCTAAGTCGATGGATTCTTAGGCTGTGTCTGGAACGCACTTGTTGTTCCTCTGGGAAGAGCACCGATTTGTCACTTATGTTCTGGTCCAAGACCTGGCTGTAGATGAGCCTGTTCTCAATGATGTTCATATTTTATGTTGAATTGTCTTGAAGTTTTGTGTTTCCTGTTCTCCCAGAATCCTCACCCATATCCTCCTGCCTTGTGATATTGGCCATGACCTCGAAATATGGCTGGAGGAGGCTCGTGGCAGGGCTAGCAGGAGGGCTCTGGGCCACACCTTCCCTTTGGTCCTCTCCACCCTTGCAGGGGCTCCCTCAACCCGGGCTCTGGGGTGGTAGCTCGGGCAGGACGACATCACGTCTTCCTTACTCCGCTTTGCTGGAAACCCGTTTCCCAGGCTCAGCTCTGTAGAGCCGGCTGCTAGTGGGGAAAGCAGCCCCTCTGGAGGTTTTGGTCCCGAAGCTGAGGTGAGCAGGGCCTACAAGTTGCTCGGTGTCATGTGCTGCATTAGCCCATGGCTCCCCGAGCTCCAGCCAGGCAGTGACCCTCAGAGTGAGGACTTCCTGGGACAGTGGTGGCTTAGAACTGGGCTTTCAGATCCAGCTTCCCTCCCACCTCTGGGATGCAGAGTAGAGAGCTGGGCTGGGTGAGGTCGCAGAATCGACCCACAGCGGCCCCTGCACTCCTCTCATGGCGGGCAAGCACAACCGGAGGCTGCCCCAGGCGTGCACATAAGCTCACAATGCACACTTTGCTTCCCCTTCGGTAACCCCTGCCTCTCTGGACTGCCTGGCTGCCCTGGATCCCAGTAACGTTAAAGCCACGGTCCTTTCCGAGCCACTGTGCTTGGCCTGTCCCATCGGGGAGATTCCTCCAAGATAATCGCCGCCCCCTGCAAAGACAGGGGCTTCTGATGTCCACGTGTGGGGCTGACCTTTTTGGGGAACCTCCCTGGGACCAGAAGCAGGGAAGAAATAGGAGACCCTGCATTCCCATGGCACAGTCTAATTTTCACTTACAAGCTCAATTCAGGCTGTCCTTAAAATCCACGTGTCCTGGGCAAGGAAGGAAATGTGGGGACGGGCACACACACACATCCTTCTGCTGTGCTGGCCTAAAGTTCCTAATAACTATCCTACATCCTGCCTGTCTCCTTTTTCCATACTTGAGGAAACAGAAGGGTTTAGCCTTAGCCCAGTTTTTTGTGTTATCTCTAAACAGGCCAACCTGGAATCACCCCTCACACAGACATGTGTGGCCTGCCCCAGTGTGCCCGAGGCCCACCCTGCTTTGCCTGGGGTTGATGTGAATGTCACACATGGGAGCGGAGGCTGGGGTTAGGACCCTGAGGCTTCCCTGTTCTCAGAAATAGTCTCCTGGCATCAAAAGGAGTAAACGGTCCATGCCACTGGCTACCACATTCCAGCCTGGCAAGGGTTACTGTTTATAGAGGCACCATTTGAGGGCTTTTCC